GAAAGAGCGCTCTTGGTTGGGAAGCTGGGGCAGAGACAGCGGGCCGTGGCACCTCCTGCTTCTGGAAGGTTGAGACAGGCTGTGGGATGCTAGATGCTGTTGCTGGACTCTGCAGAGAGAATAAGGCAGGCCGGGGAGTACTCTGGGGTCTGTGGGGCACAGCCTCAGAGTGTTCTAGCTTGGGAGACACAGGGAAAGTGAACCCAGAGTGGCTAGAGGAAGATGAGAGCGCATCTGTGGTCAGGGATCCTTGCAGGGTTGAAGGTGAAGTGTCAGACTGCCACCTGCTGGCTGGGCTGGGTGAATGCAGCTGGGATGGTGAGCCGGAATGGGCTGCCCGGAGATTTGGGGAGGGAGGAAACTCCTCTGTGTTCTTCACTCGTGGCTCCTTCAGGACCTGCACATAGTTGGCTGGGAAAATGCCTTGCCGGCTGGTACCGGAGATGCGGCCTTCGTACCAATTCTGGTCCACTCTGCGAATCAGGCAGATGCGCTCCCCCTAGCAACAAGGTAAGAGGAGGGAAAGGGTTAGCTTAGCGCATCCTCAGGGAGCCCCCTAAGCCAGGGCCAGTGTGAGGCTTACAGCCCTTTGTAGTTGAAAACTGAAGCCCAGCTCCGGATACAATGGATCCATATTTGGGGTGGTGGTATTTTTCATATGTGCATGCATGTGTATGTGTGTGAGAGAGTGTGTGTGCACCTGAAAGTCATGGCAACCTCTGGTGACCTAACCCGTATTGGGGGCCTGGAGGATATTCAGAGAGGTGGCTGAGTAAAGCCTGCCCCCGCCTCCTGACTGCTGGTATTCCAAGGAGGTCTCCCATCCAAGTACTTGCCAGAGTCGACCCTGCTTAGCTTCCGAGATCTGATGAGACTGAGCTTGCCTGGGCTATCCAGGTCAAGGCACAATGGATCCATCTTGATACACCTGCAAGCTCTTCCAGGCAAGTTATAAGTTGTCCTGCCCCACTAGTCTGTCCGGTTCATTCTTAGTAGCAGCAGCCTCAGCTCATCTTGCCTTATCGGCTCCTTATGGAGGAGAACAGCCTCCTGCGATACAACACGGCTCATTTTAACCCCAGGAAGCACTGCTTTTGGCAAGTGCTTTTTTTTTTTTTTGCTGAAAAAGAAGGACTCTGGATAGATTTCACAGTCAACAGCAAGGTAGCTTAGGGATTCATGTGAATGAAACACAAAGGTGATGAATACTCACATCTGGCTTTTCGGTATGTGTGTGTGTTGATAAGCCATCAGTGGCAGTGTTCCCTCTAAGCTGAGTTAGTGTGAGCTGGCTCACAGTTTTTTGGCCTCCAGCTCACAGATTTTTGTCTTAGCTCAGGAAGGAGGGCTCCAGAGCAAACTAATTTATGTGGTAGCCAAGTGGCTTGCTCACAGCTTTAATGTCAGTAGCTCACAAAGTAGAATTTTTGCTCACAAGATTCCACAGCTTAGAGGGAGCATTGGTGGCAATAGCTTTCCAGTACGTATGCAGCAGCAAATACCTTACATGTGGTATAATAACCCATCTTCTGCACTAAATTTGTAGTTGGAAGCAAGTTTCACATAGCAGTTCTGTTGTGTGCGAAATAGCCCTTACGTGGTCTCCTGCATATTCGCAGAAAATAGAAGCTGTCCCCAATCATGCAATCAGCCAACAGATAAAAAGGTTATGATCACTGCCTCGGAGCAAAGCAACAATCAGCATGAACAGGGACAACAGCTGTAGTCTATCGGGAAGGCGTGCTCAGACTGCTGACTGAACCTCCTCCAGCTCCCCAGCCGATCAGAGATGCTGCTGGCCCCAGAGTGAGTTTTGGCTCACCATCACCTCCTGCAACTTAAACAACAAACCTGGCTCTAACACTGCCTGTACCAGCCAACTCAGGTGATAAATAACGAGGCATGTCAGTAAACACCCTCTCAAGCCCATTTAGAATTCCTTATTGTAGGCAGTTGGTGCACATCTGAGAAGGATTATACTTTCACATCTACAAAACAGAAAATGACAGAACTGGCCTTCAGTATCCTTTTTTTTAAAAAAACTTTCTCTTTTTTGTTTTGTTTGTTTGTGGTGGCAGGGGAACAAAGTTTCAAATGTTTTTCAACTGCGAGAACTAGAAAATACTCAGCATCTGCAAAACAACCCCATGTTTAGACGCATAACTTAGCTGTACACAGATCCCTCTCCTTCCCTCCCACCTTCATCACAATCCTCTTCCCAGAAGCCCCCCAGGTATCCCCTTACCCCAATGCTGTTTGCAAAATAACCACCACATGAAGCAAAAACTCCAGTACAAAGTTCCGGACGGGAGCTGTGTTGGTCTGCAGTAGAACCTCTAGGTCAAGCCCAGTAGCACCTTAGTAAAGGTAAAGGTTTCCCTTGCTCGAAAGCCAGTCGAATCTGACTCTAGGGATGCAGTGCTCATCTCTGTTTCCAAGCCGAAGAGCCAGTCCTGTCCAATGACATTTCCATGGTCATGTGGCCGGCATGACTAGACGCCGAGGTGCACAGAACACTGTTACCTTCCCACCGAAGGTATCTACTACTATTTATCTACTTGCAATTTCTTGCTTTCGAACTGCTAGGTTGGCAGGAGCTGGGACCAGAGACGGGAGCTCACTCCGTCATGCAGCACTCAGGTCTCGAATTGCTGAACTACCGACCTTCCAGTCTGCAGCTCAGCATCTTAACCACTTGCTTTCAAGAGTCAAAGGTCCCTTTCTCAGATACTGGACAAATGGAGCTTTGACTCCTGAAAGGGTATACTTTGAAAATCTTTTTGTTCTCTAAGATGCTACTGGACTCAACACTAGTTGTTCCCATGCAAAGCTTTCAGTATAATGTGCAGAACACAGCAAGCAAATGAGTACGTTTATGCTCAGCTAAGCAAAACTGCACAAAATATTTGTCTAATTTATCTTTTGCACAGTGATGTTCTTTGGGTGCAGCATTTTCCAAGGAGAAAGGGAGAGGAAAAGGTCAAGTATGAAGAATGAAATCCAGGCCAGCCAGCAGATTTTGGAAGGTATCATTAAAAGGCCGTAAATTTTAAGTTATTACTTTTTTTAACCTCCATGGGAGACGCCACTTGGATTTCCTGCCTAGGGCATCAATAGATCTTTGGCCATCTGAGATCCCACTTTATGAGAAGCAGAGACAGACGACCAGACAGACAGCAAGGAACAGGCTTTGAAGCCATTTCCTGCTGGCCCCATTTGGAACTCGAATCCATCGTCCCAACCAATGTTTGGCCTCCCTAATTCTCTGCTTTGTTTGGCTTTGGTACCTTGCGAAATGACAGCTCCACCAGCAGGTCTCCTTTGAAGTTGTACTGAGCCACAGCCTCTCCGTACTCCAAGACTTGGATGGTGGGGGATTTGATGGGTTTGGGGATTTCTGTTGGAGGAAGAACCTATTTAAAAGAGAAGCAGCAACTGGTTATGGTTTTATTGCCAAGGACACTGGATTCTTGAATTTTAATTCCATGCTGAATTTGTGGGAAAGTGAAATTTCCAGCCTTCCAGCACTGTTGGGCCATATGGAACTCACAGAGAACCACAATTATGTACCATGCTGGTTGTTTTACTCTCTCTCAACCGCTGAGAATCTATCCCCACAAATATGGGACAGTTTGCGCTTCCATGTTCAAGCAATGCTGAGCAGGGGAAGGAATTGTATGGATTTATTCACATAGTGCTTGCCTTAAACCCAGTGTCTTGCAAGCTGTCTGCTTTGAAGGTACCACCACAACTTATCTGCCAAGAAACTCCATTGCATTGCAGAAGATTCTGGGGCATGTTCTAGGGTGCGTATCAGTTCACGTGGGGCACTAACTACTGGCTATGACTCTGCTTGAATGGAGCATGGACCCTAAAACACACCCAATGCCCTCCTGAAGTTGTGCATTTCAGAAGAAGATCTGAAGTAGTGGCCTAGAGACCTCATCAACGAGCAGCACCCAGTAAGCTCCCAAGAAACCTCAGTGTCCTGCAGTGACAATCACTGGTTTAAGTCACAAGCTGCCCAACCTCTTCCACCTCTTCTCTTCTGTTTGGCTTTGGCATCCCATATGGCAAGCTTGATTTTGTGGCAATACAAGTCCAGATATGTGTGTGGCTTCCCCAAAACAACATATTTCAGCTCTGGGAAAGCCTCTGCCCACGAAACAGCAAAGAGTTGCTCTGTGCTGATTTCTTTCTTTTTTTTGGTAACAAAATTTTTATTCAGGATATAATCAAAGCCAACATTAGTTTTACATTTATACCTGTTACATCCTACCCCCCCTTCCCCCCCCCTACATGGCTTCCCACAGTGCTACGACCTCCTGTATATTGCTTAACCTTTTCTCCTCCATCCATTTCCTCATTACAAGTTCACTAGGTAACTATTATTCTACTATTACAATTATATCTCTATTCTTTCATGATACTAAAAGTCAATATTCAATAGTTATTAAAGCAAAATAAATTGTCTCTTACATCCCAATATTTTTTCCAGATAATCTTTTAAATCTCTCCAGTCTTTATAGAAATCTTCTGCTTCCATGTTATTAAGTTTTCGAGTCATCTTGTCCATTTCAACCGAAAACAATAACTTTTTGATCCAATCCTCAACTCTCGGGACTTCATCTTGCTCTGTGCTGATTTCTAACAGGTCATCTTTCCATGTTATGTTTAAACCCACACTGCACCAACTGTGCCACATACTGCTTTGAAACTGTTTCCTAAAGTCCCATCACACTAAGAAACAGATTCCAGGATACAGAAGGCAATATCATTTCTCAGGGTCTCCAGTTCTACGGGCCCAAGTTTTTAAAAAGCTGCAATCAGCAAGTCTTTCCACCTCCCCCCACCAAACCCTCTTCTTATTACCAGAAACAGGTTTATGCTCCTGAATGTATACAGTTACTGTCTCAGATAGGAGGGGAGGCAGCCATTCATATTTATGGGAGGGAAATAAAGTACTACATGGGCAGTGCAACCCTAGACCAGGTAACACTCTTTAAACCTATTAAATGCAATGGATTGAGAAGGATGTAACTCTGTTTAGGATTGTACAGTAGCAGGAAGCAAGTGCTGCACCTTTCCCCAGCACTGGTTTGCTCAGCCTTCATTGGGAGAGACTCTGCGTATGTGCCCCCCCACAGGACTCTGTCCAGCATACAAGCCCCTCCTCCCACTCTCTTTCTGCATACAATGATGACCATTTTGCTAGTTTATCAACAGTGGCCTTGAAAGGGCTAAATGGGCAGTCAGATTCCACAGTTTAACTACGCCCTGTATGAAAACATTGTTCCTTTGACGACACGTGTCCCTCTCGCCCCCCCCCCCCCCAATGCATCCTCATGTGAGCCTCTTCTAACTTTTTCTTCTGCCTCTACGGTCCACTGCACTCAGATGTCCAGCAGATCATTTGCTGCCTTTAAAAGATTTTTGCTCTTCCTCCTTTGGGCCCTTTCACCTGCACCTGCACCTGCCCCCCCCCCAGCACTTTTTGTAATGCTGCCTCTGGCACAACCCACTAGTCCTCCTCCCTCACTGAAATGAATCATACGTTAAGTAGAACCAAATCGGAAGCATGCTCTTCCTCCTGTTTCCTGTCACCTACTTCCTTCCCCCCCTCCCTGACTCTCCTGTGCGAAATTTTAGATTGCAAGCTCCTCAGAGCAAGACCACACCTTCTTGCTATTCTGTAAATCTCTGTGCACATTGTTGGGGTCTATAATGATTCTGAGAAACCTCTGGTTTTGCTCCTCAGCTGCAGCTGAAGTGAAATTTAAGTTGTGTAAATAGATTTTGCCATACGATTCATGTCTCCAGGGATCTCTTTTGTCCCCCCAAAGAATGTGACCCTTCCCCTAAGTGAAACACCCCCTACTCAACTTCTTCCTCATTCTCCTCATGCAAACACAATGTATGTTCATCTGTGTACGTCATACCATACCTGAAAAACCTGTAGCTGCCTTGGGGGGACAGCGAGAAGAAAGGAAGGACATAAAGATAAAACAAAAATAAAAAAGGGTCATGTTTCTGAAACACAATTTTTTGTCCACAGAAGCTGGCTTCTGCACGACTAACCCTGCCCTTGAATCTGAGCAAGTTTGTGTTTCCTGTCTCCACCACATGCCAAATAAAAAATGTATCCCTTGTCCCAGAATAAGCAAGGTCGTGCCCTTCAAGGCTTACCTCCACATAGTTGGCAGGGAAAATGCCCACCCTGCCATGGTGTTCTCCTTCCAGCCAGTTTCTATCGACTTCCTTGTGGATATAGACGATGTCACCCTTCTGCAGAGTCAGTTCCCTGAAAGGTCAAAGGATCCACCCGCAGAAACAGACCACATTAAAAACAAAAACCCAGCCATGTATATATGCCAATAATAATGCAAGGAGACCCAAACATTGTACCATTGACAGAAGCCCTCCAGGTACCACTGTACTCACTTTGGTGACTCTGCCTGGAAGTCAAATTTGAGGCGAGCAGCTTTCATCTAGAGAGAGAAGAAAATGGATTAAAGGGGATGTGAAGTTAAAAAATACCCATTTGGAGCCCGTGCCACTAGATTCCAGAAGGACACCCGGGCCCCTAGCCAGCACAGCCACAGGAAACAAAACTAAAAATGTAATTGGAAACCTCAGGATCAGATCAAAGCAAATATGGTCCACGAGACTGCAGGGGGTCTATTGGCTGAGAAACAAGGCTCAGTTCCACACGAACAACAGCAAACATCTTTCAGGGCTTGCCAAAGAGGTTTAGTTCAGGCAGCAAGTGCTTTACTATTGTGCAGCCAGCCAGCCAGCCAGCCTACTTTTTAATGTACAAGCATACACTGTCAATGAGGGAAGAATCTGTGCTGATCAAGTTCCAGTAAGAATATCCCAGGATTCTCCTCTGCTGTCTCCCACTACTAGAAAGGAAAGTAACATGCATGAATCTGCCTTATACTCAATCAGATCATTGGCCCATCAAGGCTGAAGAAGAAGAGATTGGATTTATACCCCCGCCCTTCACTACCCGAAGGAGTCTCAAAGCATTTTATAATCTCCTTTCCCTTCCCCTCCCCACAACAGACACCGTGTGAGGTAGTTGGGTTGAGAGAGCTCTTTCAAGAACTGCTCTTTCCAGAAAAACTCTGAGAGAACTGTGACTGACCCAAGGTCACACCAGCAGATGAATGTGGAGGAGTGGGGACTCAAACCCAGTTCTCCCAAATCAGAGTCTGTGCTCCTAACCACTAAGGCCAACAGTGGCTTTCCAGGGTCTCAGGTAGAGGTCTTTCACATCACCTACTGCCCTGGTCCTCTTTAACTGGAGATGCTGGGGATTGAACTTGGGACTTTCTGCATGCAAAACAGAGGCTCTTCCATTAAGCTACAGCCCCTCACACTTGGACAGAGGCTAGGGTTATCCAGTCACAAAAATTCACAGAGATTAAGGTCAGATTTGAGTCCGGTAGCACCTTAGAGATCAACAGGATTTTGGGGGTGTAGTCTTTCGAGAGTCAAAGCTCCCTTCATCTCTCTCAAAATGATTAGGGTTGTACAGAAGAAGAAGAGTATGTTTTTATACCCAGCTTTTCTCTACCCTAAGGCATCTCAAAGCAGCCTACAACTGCCTTTCCCTCCTCTCTCCACAACAGCCACCTTGTGAGGCAGGCGGGGCTGAGAGAGTTCTGAGTGGTGACTGACCCAAGGTCACCCAGCAGGCTTCAGGTGGAGGTGCAGGGAATCATAATCGGCTCTCCTGATCAGAGTCTGCCGCTCTTAATCACCACACACACAGTACTCTGTCCCCGCTTTAAAGAGAAATGTGCACTCCTGAATTTCCCTTCAATTACCTCCTCTTTTAGTGGGCACAGTAACAGGAGTTAAAGTGTGTCAATGATTTATTAGCTAAAAGCAAATGTCTGTGTGATAATGGCCTGAATTAGCTGTCTCAGAACAGCAAAACATGCAAAATGCACTTAAGATCTCAACATGTATTAATTTAAAAGAAAATTGTTACAAGATGATGTACAGATGGTACATGACACCTAAAAAGATTGCCAATATGAATACCAATATGTCTAGTAAGTGTTGGAAGTGTAAAAAAGCAGAGGGCTCATTTTATCACATGTGGTGGACATGTGAAAAAGCTAAAAAAAATTGGGTTGAGATACATGCAGAAATGGAGAGAATTACCAAATGTAAATTTAAAAAAGAACCAGAAATTCTACTTTTGGGACTAAAAATGGAAGAGGTCAATGTGGCAAAAAGGACTATGATGTGGTATATGATTACCGCTGCCAGAATGACTTATGCTCAATGTTGGAAACAAGAGGAAATCCCAGGAGTAAAAGACTGGATTAGAAAATTACTCTTTATGGTAAAAATGGATAAGATGACTAGAAAACTGAATGATTTGGAAGCAGAAGACTTCTTTGAAGATTGGAAAGACTTAAAAGAATATTTGGAAAATAATTGGGATGTAAAAGATATGTTGTTTTGCTTTGATAACTATTGAACTGAAAAATTGAAGAAGGAATAGAATTTAATTATATATGATAAAAATTGTTACCTATTAAACATACGTTGATGTTAGGGGAAGATAAATTTTAAAGAATGTGCAGGAGGTCGGAGCAATGCAGGAAGCCGTTCAAGGGGGAAAGGGGGGGGGTAGGATATAGAAAATTTTTTTAATTGTAAGACTGAATGTGATTGTGATGAAACATATCCTAATAAAATGTTTAATAAAAAAAAATAAGAACAGCAAAACATGCTACCTGAGAAGGAAGAACATTTAAGTCTTGTTATCAACCCTGGAGAGATAAGATGGGATAAAGTTTTAAGTTTTTCTTTAAAAATCTCAATGTGTTTATGTGCCAAAGTTGGGGGAAGATTTCCTTCTGACCATAAATATAGGCATAGTGACTGCATAGTCATATGAGGTTTTCAGATGGCATTTCAATGGCAGCCCCCAAAGCATTCTAGAAATTTGATGAGAATTCAGTTTAGGACCTTTGGACATCCAACTTCCAGGGAGCACAAATGAGCATAAACCAGTTTTTAAGTCTGCAACCTATTATTTGTGACCCTCTTGCAGGGAGGCGCCAGGCAAGTGCTTAGAACCTCCCATCTCACCTTGTTCTCTTCTTTCTTTGTGGGACTATCCAGAACCGCGTCCAAAGACTCAGGAATTCTCCCCACATGCCTCAAAGGATCTACGTGGAAACATATAAATGAAAACTCTTTTGGTTATTTCTTAAAGCTGCCTTTCCTAGCAACTACAGTGGTTCAAGGGTGCTTAGTACAGGTATGATAAGCAGGCAACGAACAATTAAAAGCAAACATATTATCCCTTAACAAAATGCAACCCAGACTGATTATCTGTAAACCACCCATCTATGAAGCACTAACTCACATCTCTTCTAGAAGGAGACTAGCATAGGATGCCTCCACACATACTCTGACAGAGTATTCTATAAAAGTGGAGCTGCTACTAAGAATGAGCAAAGGCTCACCATGCAACTTGGCAGGAGATTTCAACCAGGAAAAGGGTCTGGAACAGAGGTGTTGAACTCATTTGTTTGACATGAGTTCTTCTTTATTTATTGTCTTTAGTGTTTTTGCAACCGGAGTCATAAACAGCAAACCCTCATCCCACAATAAATCTCATTCCACAGGGAAACATGGAAGAATTTAAAGGCTGCTACTGCAAAGGTTGTCATGTGATTTGACAACAGCTGCTAGAAATTTGGCCACACGCAGGGAAATTTGTTTGCCTTCATCTCTAAATAGCCAGGACAGTTTTGCTTCCGGAGAAAGGAAGTCCTGATTAAATAAAGGGGAGATCAGTTCATCTCTTACAGCTCAAAATTTGGGGCAATCAAGCAAAATATGATCCACACAGTCAATTTTACTTCTGCCGCAATTACAGAGTCGATCTGAGTATGAAATGCCATTAAATCTTCCTGACATCACAGCTGAAGGTAGGGCATCCAGGCACGCTAGAATGAATGCCCTTCTATACTTTGGAAGAATTTTCTCAGATAAGTAGTTTGGCATTGTTGTTGGAGGCTGAATGCCTACTGAAAAGGTTGAGCACACTCTGCGGGCTCTAATCGACATGCTCTCATAGTCAAAGGATTTAACACGAATGTCACTTTGTTGGCCCAGGCCATGTGTGCAATAAAGTGCAATGCCAGGTACCAGAGATGCATTACCACTGACCATGACCTATGAACCTCCTCAGCAGAACTCGGGGCCAAACCAGCCCTCATCACCCTTTATGGTTGCCAACGCTGGGTTGGGCAATCCAGGGAGATCTGGGGAGAAGACCCTGGGGAAGGCCGGCATTTGGGGAAGGAAGGGACCTCATCAGGGGGTATAATACCCTAATATAGGCCCTTTCGGTCCACATTTTGCGTGGTTTCCCCCAGTTCCTCGTGGGCCAGATAAGAGCCCTGGATGGGCCAGTCCTGGCCCCCAAGCCATATGTTTGACATGTCTGTTCTAGAAGGTCTCTGGAGGTGCACAGGTTCATAATAGAAAAGACAATCCTTTAAGTATGCTGCCCCTCCCTCAATTGGGTAGGGTTCTAAAGATCAAAATCACCAGCTTGCACTGAACCCAGAAGCACATCGGCTAGCGTAGCTGTTCCAAGCAGTCCTATTTGTACTAACATCTAGATCACCTTGAAGGACAGCTCCACATACATCATATTACAACAGTCCGGCCTGAAGGTTACAGCAGCATGGATCTGTGTGGCCAGAAGCATAGAGTGCGGGAAGGGAAATAATTTCTACACCAATTGCAGCTGATAGAATAAATTCTTCGCCACTGCATTTACCTAATCTTCTAACAAAAGTATAAGTAATACCTCTAAGCTCTTTACCACATACATTTAAACCTATCCTATCGAAATTGGCAGAGCACTTTACTGACAAGAATTACCTCCATCTTGTCTGGGAGAGGGGCCATGACACAGTGGGAGAGCATCTGCTTGGCATGCAGGTTCACTCCCCAATATCTCCAGTTAAAGATCAGGTCAAAGGTGATGTGAAAGACCTCAGCCTAAGACCCTGGAAAGCTGCTGCCAAACCTCAGCCTGAGACCCTGCAAAGCTGCTGCCAGACTGAGTAGACATTGATGGACCAAGGGTCTGATTCAGTATAAGGCAGCTTCTGTCAGGAGTAACTGGTTAGTTAGTCCAGTATCCCATCTCAAACTTAGCAGAGTACACTAGGCTACATGCAGTAGAAGTCCTTTGTTCTCAGTGCACTGGCAGAGTTACAAAGTTACACAGAGCCACTTTTCCAGTTTCAAGACTAATAACAGTCCTTTTATTTAGGAACTACATTCTAGACCAGGGGTGTCAAACATAAGGCCCAGGGGCCAGAAGCAGCCCACCCAGAGCTCTTATGCAGCCCGCGAGCAGCTAGAAGGGAGGGGACAAAAGACTGCTTTGGGGGGGATTGGGTGGAGCCACTCCTATCATGGCTTCAGCATGGCAGAACGACATTGTATGCAGCAGCAGACAAGCAGCATGGGAGTGTATGCCCAGTGCTGCACCGCTGGCTCTCCAGTCTGCACATATGGGTTTTCCTTTGCAATGGGTCCTTGCAGTGAGGATACATGAACCTGGAGCTTACCAGCTGCTGTCCTTTATACAGTTTATATCTCCGGTACCTGGCATTACATTTATGGCACACATGGCCCAGCCTGGCCCGGCAAAGTGAAATTTATGTCAGATACGGCCCTCGTTACAAATGAGTTCGACACCTCTGTTCTAGACAGTAAAGCTTAGAGACAGAGATAGAATCTAATCTAACTATATCGGACGAATACGGATCCAGAGGTGCATTCTGCATCCATTGTGGCAAAGAAGAGAGCAGCGTGCTCCTTCTTTGTTGTTTGTGCGAGAGACGAGAGTGTGTGAGAGGGCAGAATAGAAGGAAGAAACGCAATTTCCCTGTAATCTATCAGTCTACATCAAAGGGACAGAGACAGGAGAGTAAACAGGAAGAAAACCCACAGTTTGCCTGTCTATCTCACTGACTTGTTTGCAAACCACCACCACCATCCCTTGGGGGCTGAGGCTTGAGACAGCATCTAGGCCTTCTCCTCCAACAGCTTCGTGTGTTCATTTGGATTCAGGTTTAGCTTGTTCTTCCTCAGCCACCCAAGCACAGCCTCCAAACACTGGCCACACATGGAGAGTGCTTCCTCTGGTAGATTGTTCAAAGTATATGTTGATGACATGCAGCTCTATATCTCTCTGGACATATTGATGATACTCAGCTCCAAAGCTGCCTAGACATTCAATTTTCAGCACTCTCATATATACATTAAAAAGCATGGGCAAATCTTCCAGAATCCCACAGGATAGATCCCCACTTCCTCATCATTCAGCATGACTTTCTGGGCATGACCAGACAGAGTGACCAAAACCCACTTTGACACTGTGTCTCTCAGGGTCAAGAGACACATCATGATTTGTCATGTGCAATGTCCAGGTTCCTCTGATCATGCTTTGACTGAGACAGCCAGACTTCAGGTACAAGGGAACTCAGTTCCTAAGCATTTGGGAGCATGATTAGGACTGGGACTGCAGAAGAAGAGGGCGCCCCCCCCCCCCCCCCCCCCGTGCCATTTTCCCCACTTGAAATGCCCCAGGGGAATCACTATTTGCCCTACTGGGGAAACTTACATGTAGCTGATCAGCCTCACACCATACAAATAATGTCCTTCTGGGGCTGTCTAAGGTGGTCGACCCTGGTTAGTACTTAGATGGAAGACTTCCTTGAAATACCTCCTCAGGAGGACAGGGGCAGGCTTTATTCAGCCACCTTTCTGAATACCCTCCAGGCCCCCAGTAGGGGTCAGTCACCAGAGGTTGACATGACTTTCAGGTGTAGACACACACACAAAATACAAAAATACCAAAAAGGGGGGGGGATAAGTTCCTTCACACCTGATATTCTAAGGTCAGGGGAATCCAGACACTGCAGATTACAAACCATAACATGTAGTTTGACCATCAAGTCCACTCTATCCTAAAGACAGTATAGTAATATCAGTCAGTCTACAGTGTCAAACGTGGCAGAAAGATCCAACAAATCAAAAGGGTTGTGTTCCCCTTGGTATTTGGAGATTGTCCACCAATAGGATCCGAGCAACAGTGGTCTCTAAGCCAGGCTTTAAGTCTGAAATGGAGTTGAAACGGGTGAAGCACAGACAACCCATCCAGGAAAAGTTGCTCCACTGACACACTTTCAATTAATTTGCCCAAGAATGGTAATGTTGACACAGCTTGATTATTGGCAATGAAATCCCAGTTAAGGCAAATGATTGCTTCTTTAAAGGTCTTTGGAAACTTACCCCTTTATCACAAGGAGTCAATAAAGTAAAACAATGAACCCCTCACATTGTCTCTACAAGTTCTAATTCATCAACTAGAAAATGGTTGGGACACTTCTTACAATTCCTGCCAGGTACTAGAACAGCAAGCTAGGAATGCATGCCTGAGCAAGCATGGCCAGAAGATTTCATCCTCTTCCTCCTGGGTTACAGAAAACGGAGGGAAGAAGGCACTCCTCCCTCCCGCTAAACACACACTTATGCACACCGAGAGAGGGACTGCCATTTGGCGCTTTGAAGTTTCACTGCTTCCCATACAAACAAGGCACATGCAGAATTATACCATTCCTTGGTGGAGAGCTGTTCCAGTTATTCCTGGCAATGCCGGGACTCCCTTTCTCCATTCTTGGGCTGGCGGACACGTGGCACTGGGCTGCAGGAAGGTTTTGTCCCGTGGAAGGATAGGCACTGTGGTCAGGCAGTGGGCTGCTGGGTTAGAAAAAATGTACATAAATGTACATGCAGTAAGAAAGACCATGGCCTACCAAATGGAGTGTTGGGAACAGAACTGGAAGACCACTGAATCCAAGGGTTCACCACTACCCTGTAGCACCCAGCACATTTCTCGACCATTTTGAGCTCCTGCATTCTTTTAGACTTCCTCTGCATTCTGGGACCTCCCAACCTAACGTCAATCATCTGTTTGGTAGGTGAGAGTCTCCCATATGGCAGTGGGTTTCCTGCTGGTGTTTTCAAGAAACTCGGGATTCAGAGCAAAGAAATATCAAGGTATCTAACGGCAAACTGGTTGGCCCTCATGAGGATGATGAAAGCGGCAAATCTCGGCCATTTGCCAACATATCTGGGGGGGGGGGGGAGACTCCCATATTTGGGGTGGGGAGACTCCCATATAGGCAGCAACAGCAACAAAATGACTTTTTAAATTAGCCAAAAGGGGAGGTGGATCTCTTAAAATGGCATGGACTAAAGACGCCCCAGAAGGGAAGGAATGTTGAGGCAGACTGAGAAGGCTGGGGGGAAAGATCATATTTCCAAGTTATCCTGACTTGCAGTTTCTACTCTCCCCATGTTAAAAGCTTATTCTGGTACAGGTCAAAGCTGTGCATTTCAAGTTCAAATACAAGTTCAACTACCAGTTCAGTCCCTAAAATGATTTGCAAAGGTGCCAAGCAAGATGCAAAAACTCCACTGTAACATCATAACTTCCTTGAACACTGACAGATCATCATAACAAAAATCCTTGGTGTATAAGCTCACAACACGATTCCATGTTCTGTGTCCAACCATCAATTAGATCCATGCACCCATTTTGGGGGCAGAGGAAAGGGGGGAAGCAAAAAAAAATATAGTGATGAGATATACAGGTGGAGAGATCGGAATGAAAGCTTGTCTGCACATTCAAGAGACAATTCTACATTTCAAGTAGGAGAAGTAACCCAGTCTAATATTTCTCTCACTGTTTGCCAAATTCCACATCTGCAATGTACAGAAATAAAACAACTCGCTAACACTCACTCTGCGTCCTCACAGAGCCACGTAGGCATGACTGATGCCACCAACTCCACATGTTCCACATGCAGAATTGCTCTTCCGTGCAACTTCATCACAGCCAGAACTGAAGGGAAAAATATGCCTTCCAGGAAAGACCCAGCACTTGCAAGCAGGGTCCGAGCAAAGCAACCACAAAACCAAGCGTCCTACCTGAGAACCCTCCCTATGATCTCCCAAGTCCTCACCCACCACACTCAGGACTACCTGGCTTCCACCTCCTTTATTTCCCGTATCAGCTACGTCCACTCTAACTCCCATATTTCTATGCCAGCTCTTCTCTTCTCTTTGGAAAGAACAACCGATCAAGAGATTAGAAATAGGGCAGAGGCAGCTGGAGACCTCCTGTAGGTTGCCTCCCTTACCTCCCCCCCCTCCCTATTTCCCCTTATGCGCAACAGACCTGCCTGTAATCCCTTATCCCAGCTCAGGGCCCCTGAAGCCGTCTTGGCAAGCCAAGGCCAAGCTCAACAGGAAGCACTGAGGCAGCAACAAGAAACTGGCAGGCAAGAAGCTATTCTGCTGAAGTTTAACTTCAGTATTTTTGGATTTCTAAAAAAATTTAAAGGGACAGTGCCCACTTCCGGGGGGGTGGGGGGGTGGAGAATGAAGAGTGTCCTCCACATTGGACCAAAGCACTCACAACCAGGAATGAAAGGGTTTATTGCTCCGGAGAGGGTGCAGAGTTACTGCTATTCATTCTGCACGGATTAAAAGCCTGAAGTTTTGAAGGATGCCAGTTGCCTAACAAGTAATGGCTAAGAGTGTAAACCAAATAGTCCTTGATTCAGGTGTTGTCCTCGGCCTTGAACTCACCAAGCCACTTCCTCAGTGTGGGAATAATACGGATCTATGTTAAAGGTCTGTTGTAAGGCTTACTCTCACCAAGCCACTTCCTCAGTGTGGGAATAATACGGATCTATGTTAAAGGTCCATTGTAAGGCTTACTGATAACAGTGTATCTAAAGCACTCTGAAGCCGTTAAACAAGAGACATGCGTCCAGTCCTTTAAAACAGACACAGAAATCCTCAGCTGCTCCTAGCAAGGACACCAAAAGAACAAGAAAGGGTCCAAAGCCAGAGAGATATGGCTCCTAACTTATTGGAGGAGCTTATGTGAAAATAAATCATATCTGTTTTTCCATCTCGTGGCTAAAGAGCATCGATTTCTCCTGGGAAGTATTTTAGAGGAATAAATGCCCACGGGAAAGGCAGGGACACAGTTCTCCCAAAGAACGCTCTTGGTTTCTGGTCTGGATGAGTCTGCGACAGCCAAAATGACAGAGACTCTCACAGCACCTTAAGGAGTCACAAATTTAACATGTCAGAAGGCTTTACAAGCCAGGGCCTACTTTGTGAGATGCACAAAGTTGTTGTTCATTCAAATCTAACAGGGCTCGTGTGGGAAAAAGTCTTGGTGGATGATGTTTCACATTAATCAGGAGTCCAGTGGCACTTTAAAGATGAACAAAACCGGAGTCCAGTGGCACCTTAAAGATGAACAAAACCAACTCCAGCATAAGACTCACTTCATCAGATGCATTGGAGTCTCCTGATGACCCACAGAAGCTTATGCCGGAACCAATTTTGCTGGTCTTCAAGGTATCACTAGATCCCTGCTTTCTTTTACTGCTACAGACTGAGATGGTTACCCATTTGGAATTAGTGTGCTAGTGGGGAGAGGAGGACCCTGCCTCATCCACTAAAAAGTGTCCTGGGTCAGCCCTGACCAAATGACAGCTTCTAACCATGCCAAGCAAATCAGATGATTTCTGCAGTGGGGTGAACCGGTCATAAGATTAGCTTGGCCATGAGCCTGGGGTTTCTCCTCTCTGTGATCCAGAAACCTTGTGCAGGTGTGTCAGGACCTTGGACCTTGAATTTCAACACAAACATCTAAGCCCCTCCCACCAAGACCCACAGAGACAAAAAATGCACCCATGTGACTTTGCACTACCCGGCTTCTTGTTTAAACTGGGATGCCATTCATGCAAATCAGCTCTGCATGCTCAGTTAGAATGCCACCCCAACACTCACCCAGGCTACCAGTCTTTGATGTGCTAAACAAGCACACTTTGCAGGGGTGGCCGTGCAGTTGAAATGAGAGGCTGACCAAGTGTAAAGGGCCCAGGTCTAAGTTCTTTTGCCACATGTTTAAATCAGGCCTAACTTGGAAGAAGCAAAGCGTGCAAATTGAGAATGCTTACACTCCATCTCTTGCCTTCTATTCTTAGGTGCTCTGTGCATACACAAATCATTAGAAGAGTCCTGTACAGAAGAGTCCTGTATTGGAACAAATACTGAAGATGCAAGAGAGCCAATGTGGTGTAGTGGTTAGAGTGTTGGCCTTGGATCAAGGAGATGCACGTTCAAATCCCCATTCTGAAATAAGACTCATTAATCCACCTTGCATTAATCTCTCTCTCTCTCTCTCAGCCCAACCCACCCTACAGGGTTGTTGTGAAGACAAACCCTACAGGGTTGTTGTGAAGACAGACTGGAGAAGAGTATGATGCATACTACTCTGAGGCAGAGCAGGATAAAACTATACTAAATAATAAAACCATACAATGGAAAGCACAAGTAACTCTAATACAACACTCTCAGCAGTATTTAAACAGGGTCTTGCCTGCTGCAGCTCTGCTGTTTGCAGACTATACTACATAGGACCCAAACTCCCAGTGTAAGAACATAAGAGACGCCAATGTTGGATCAGGCCAATTGCCCATCCAGTCCAACACTGTCACACAGTGGCCAAAAATACCAGGTGCCATCAGGAGGTCCAGCAGTGGGGCCAGGACACTAGAAGCCCCCCCACTGTTGCCCACCCCAAGCACCAAGAATATAGAGCATCACTTGCCCCAGCCTGAGAGTTCTTACCTATACCTTGTGGCTAATAGCCACTTAAAAGGAGCTGCGGTGGCTCAAGTGGTTAAGACACTGAACTGCAGGCTGCGGAAGGTCGGTAGTTCAGGAGTTTGAGACCCGAAGTGCCGCATGACGGAACTCCAGTCTCTAGTTCCAGCTCCTGCCAACCTAGCAGTTTGAAAGCAAGAAATTGCAAGTAGATAAATAGGCACCACTTCAGTAGGAAGGTAACAGTGTTCTGTGCGCCTTGGTGTTTAGTCATGCCGGCCACATGACCACGGAAACGTCTTCGGACAGCGCTGGCTCTTCGGCTTTGAAACTGAGATGAGCACCGCAACCCTAGAGTCAGATTCGACTGGCTTTCAAGCAAGGGAACCTTTACCTTTAATAACCACTTATGGCCCTCTGCTCCATATGTTTATCCAATTCCCTCTTGAAGCCGCCCATGCTTGTAGCTTGTTTTTTGGTCCTGCAGGGTTTCTCCTGGTATGAATCAAGGCCTCAGCACAGGGGAAAAGAAGATTAATACTCCCCACTTCGAGCTTCCTCCACTGAAGACACCTCCCAAATGGGTTCCTGATTTAAGAAACAGCACAAGGTAGACGGGAGAGTTTACCTCCTCCAGTGCTGCTGCTCCAATCCCACCCTGCCCTGCCAAGAGCTGACAAAGAACATGTCCAGAGTTCCAGAGACAGAACACAGCATTACTGTGCAGTTTTGCTCTCGGAATGCCTTCCTGTGGAGCTCCCTGCCACCATTCCAGAGGCAAATCAAGACTTTCCCATTTCCAAATGGTTTTTCGTCATTTGCAGCTCCCATTAATGCCGCTCCCAATCTTCTGCATCAGCATTAGTCGTATTGTTTGCTCTTAGGTGTATTTTTAACTTTTATGCTGCTTAGAACACTGCTGAGAAGCGACGTATAAATTCTGTACCTAACAATAATTGGCAGTTCAACCCAAAAGGCTGAGCTCAGCATAGAATGAATGGGAGTGGACGGTCCAATGAGCACCCTCGGTTGTGGCAATTAGGCAACAGCTGCCAACAGTATCCTCATCCCTCCTCCAATAGGGAACCAAACTACACAACACCAGGGTTGTTCCTGACCCTCCTGACAGCCATGATCCTTCCATATGAGACTTTGCCCTTTTACCCCAACTACTACCATAAGCCAAACTCTAGCAGCAGCAGGATGCTTAAAATGAGCATCAAGAACATGTTGTGCCGTCCCCCCCCCCCAGCCTGGAAGCAGCCGGCTCTTTTTCCCAAGGGCTCTCTCAGAAGCAGCAATCACTCATCAATGGATACTGCACAAGACTTGTACAATAGCCAATCATCCACAACTGGATTACTTTGGTCATGACAGGACAGCTCTAGTGTTAGTGCTATAGCACAAGGAATATCCATCATCAGGTGGATGCAGCTACAGTAACCTTGGGCAAGGCATGTGTGAAAAGATGAGGTCTGTAAGAACTGCCTTGCTGGGTCTGACCAAAGAGCCATGCAGTCAGATTTTTATTTTAATATTTCAGCTGGACATCTGGTCTAGTGGGATGACAAATGGAACAGTGAGAACAAAGTTTTTGCACAGTTTGTCATATGGGGTTTAATAAAGAGCCTGGTGGTTTCTTAAAAATTGGGGAGGGGGGGAAGAAAGACCATGCAGATGAATACTGTCTTTCTTTCCCTGTTGTTTTCCCTTCCTTGTGGTTTGTGTGGGACACTGCACGGTGCCCTGCACAGAGGGGGTGGGGGCTAGAAGCTTAGAATAAACTCTGCAACCAGTCCAACATTCTGTTCCCAACAACAGCCAGCCAGTCGCATGCCTCTGGAAAGCTCATAGGCAGGTATGATGTCATATCCCTGCCCTGCTGTTTGCCCCTGGCATCTATCAATCAAAAGGTACACTGCCTCTACGCATGGAAGCTCCATTTGACAGTACCCCGAAAAGGCTGCTAAAAAAATCGAACACCCAGGGGCTCCAGCACACCTTTCCCTTAAACATTTCACAAACCCTATCAAGCCAGCTTCTGCCAGGAGCAAAGGGGGAGGGATCCTGAGAACCCGGACAAATGCAAAATTATCTCGTTTTCCAGTTCCCAGCAGGTTCTCTCTTCCTTCCCTTCCCCCTCTTCTAGCTCATCCTGCACCCTCTTCATTCCTCCCGTCCCCCCCCTCTCCCCCTCCCCCTCCCTTTTCCTCCGCTCCAACTTTTCCCCAAGCATCGGATCCACCCCAGATGCTTCAAGGATGACGCCACCCGTTGCAAGCCAAGGTGTGGCAGCTGGAAGAGGAAACTCCTTGGGCACCGCACGGTGTGTGCCAGCGACTCGACAGCCATGTCCTGTGCGTACTCACCGGCGGGCAGCAAAGGCCGGGGAAGGGACGCGGGCGGAGGAGGAAGCGGCCGAAGAGCACTGCGGAGAGAGAGAGATGGGAAGGAAAGAGCTGAGCTGAGCGCCGGAGCTGCGCAGGGCTGAACTCCCGTCCCGCGCAGAAAGGCGCCAGCAACAAAACAGTTAGCCAGCAGGGAAGGAGGGCGGGAGAGCGAGTCCCTCTGGCAGGGCGCTCACAGGAGTCAGAGCCGGCGGAGGCGGGCGGGAGACAGCAGGGTCCTAAAGGCCAACAGCGCGCAGCCGAGGCGTCTTCTGTTCTGCTACGCTAAATGAGTAAATGTCAGGAGTTTGGTAAATGTTGACACTCACCGGTAATTCCTTTACTCCTTTATGTAACTATTTTAAAATCAGTTTCCGTTTGTAGTCACCTAGTATAAAGCATTCTACCATAATGTAAATTTAACAGAATGGAAAACATTTCAATCTCTTTACATTAATCCCCCCCCCAATGCTGACTCTTAATTCTCCCTGCACTTATTTCAATACAACAGTTTAGCTTAGTCTAATTCTTTAATATTTTAAGGCTCCATAGTCTGTACATACCTATTAAGGAGCAAAGTAACTTAATTCTTCCTTTAAATCAACCAGATTAAAGTTAGATTTGAAGGGAAAGTTACAAAACCTCAGTGCTAACCAATAATTGTCAAAATCATTTGGGATCTTTCAGTAAATAAACAAATATCACATTCATTTCCATCATTTACTAGTAAAATACATTTTCAATGGCATGGATATATAACTATCATAAACAAGCACTATGAAATTCCTGACATTCCCCACCCCCCACCCGAACTTAAGTGCTACAAGTAAATGTTAATATTTACCAAATTCCTGACATTTATCATAATATACAGCTGTGGCCAGGAAAGGGGGGGTGGCTGGAAAATGGGGAAGGCAGCAGAAAAAGGCATACGAAATTTTAATTATTTTGTTTACTAAAAAGCACACAAAGGTGTCTTACTGAACATATTAAATTCCCTTAATCAGAGAAGAACTCCTTTTTCTTACTTATTGGTCACTTTTATCTTCTTGTTGAGTTCCTTTTATTGATGAGAAAACACAACAATAAAGGGACCTCTTCATCTAGGGGATGAGTACCCTACAGATAGGCGGGAAAAGAGTTTGCTTTGGAGTAAGGGTGAATAAAACTGGCAGGAATCAGCATCTGATGAAGTGAACTTCGCCTTTTATGCTAGAAAATTGTGTTGTCTTTAATGTGCTACTGGACTCAATTTTAGTTCTGCTTTTGCATCCTAACACAGCTATCCACCTGAAGACATTAGTAAAGATAGTTCTCTACCAGAGTAATGAATACCGAGCTACCTAGACCAGTGGCCTGACTTGGTAGCTCATATGTGCAATACTCAGAACAGTTGCTTTACCAAATACATACAACCATTTCATTCTTTGCTTGTTGGAATGATAAAGGGGCAATCAGACCAAGGGAAAGATGCACCATCTTGCCACCATTCAGCTTTCATTGAGTCTGTTGTTGGAAGGGGTTGTGGCTCAGTGGTAGAGCAGGTCATCTGCTTTGGATGCAGATGGCCCCAGGTTCAATCCACTGCATCTCCATTTAAAAGGACCAGGTAGTAGATGATGTATGTGAGACTCTGGAGAGCAGCAGCTCAATGGTCTGACTTAAGGCAGCTTCATGTGTCCAGTGCCTTTAGCAGCTGCCTGACACACGGTCATTAAGCAAATGAAGCTTTTCCCACTGCTTTATCTCCATGCCCCCAAAAGCTCACATCCTGTTTACATGCAGACTTCAGTGTGCCTAACCCAGCATACTTCCAATGGACTTTCTTCCTGAAACTCTTTTTATCCTGCCTTTTGTTCAAGGGCATTAGCAAACATTTTAAAACATTAAAAACGTAACAAATATTCAAATAAAAATAAAATACATGCAGAACAACCGTAAAAGAACAAAACTAAGTATGTAGCCCTGACTCAGCAGGGCTACCTTCACTTATGTTGCCCCCAAACGTTGCACAGAATGGATTGTTTTAAAGTATTAAAGGTAAAGGTAAAGGTTCCCTTGCTCGAAAGCCAGTCGAATCCGACTCTAGGGTTGCGGTGCTCATCTCCGTTTCAAAGCCAAAGAGCCAGCGCTGTCCGAAGACATTTCCGTGGTCATGTGGCCGGCATGACTAAACACCAAGGCGCACGGAACGCTGTTACCTTCCCACCGAAGTGGTCCCTATTTATCTACTTGCAATTTCTTGCTTTCGAACTGCTAGGTTGGCAGGAGCTGGAACTAGAGACAGGAGCTCACCCTGTCTTGCGGCACCTGGGTCTTGAACCGCTGAACTACTGACCTTCCACAGCCTGCAGCTCAGCGTCTTAACCACTTGAGCCACCGCATTAGGTTGATGCTAAAGATACAGAAGCTGGACCACTGACTGATTTAGCAGTCCTTGTTGGAAATGCTCCTTACAGTAGATTTTTCATAGAGGTTTTATAGTCCTATAAATATGGGGGAAAGCTGGGAAGAAGAAGAGGAGGAGGAAGAGGAGGAGGAGATTGGATTTATATCCCCACCCTTCACTACCCGAAGGAGTCTCAGAGCAGTTTACAATCTCCCATCCCTTCCCCTACCCTGTGAGGTAGGTGGGGCTGAGAGAGCTCTTTTGGGAACTGCTCCTGAGAAAACAGTTCTGAGAGAACTGTGCCTGACCCAAGGTCACACCAGCAGCTGCATGTCGAGGAGTGGGGAATCAAACCCGGTTCTCCCAGATTAGAGTCCGTGCTCCTAGCCGCTACACCAAACTGGCTCTTCGTTCAGTGCAAGTCAGGACAAGTGTACTAACACAGCCTCAAGATAACCAGTGCAGCTGCAGGACATACAGACAATTGTGCTGCTGATAGCAGTGGGTGCTGACACAACAGTTACCTTGCGGGCAAGCTGGCGAATCTCAATGGCTTTAATGTCCTTGTCCAACTCTTCGCTGAGCTGCTGTAGCTCCTTCTCCAGTAACTCCTGGCAGAGGATAGAAACATGCATGTCAATTACTGTATATAACAGCATTCAAAGGCCATAGAAAACCATACTGCTTCTAGGAAGAATCAGATGAGAAAACAGAGGAATGCCTGTTACAGAGATGCTAAGGAGCAAAGATCAGGGGTGGATTCATGGCTCAGGGGTACACCGAAGATCCTGGGTTCAGTTCCTGGAATCTCCAGGATTAAGTAGTAGGTGATGTGGAAGACCTCTGCCCAAGATCCTGGAGAGCCATTGCCAGTCAGATACACCAAAGGCCTGACTCAGTATAAGGCAGCAGCTTCTTGTGTTCATCAGTCCATGATGGGGAGGTGTTGCCCCAAGATGTGGACGTTGCCATAAGGTGGTGGAAAGTGTTGTCAAGTCGCAGGTGACTTACAGCAATCCCGTAGGGTTTTCATGGCAAGAGCCATTCACAGGTGGTTGGCTGTTTCCTGCCTCCGCATAGTGACCCTGGACTTCCTTGGTGGTCTCCCATCCAAATACTCACCAGGGCTGAACCTGCTTAGCTTCTGACATCTGACAAGATCAGGGTCATTGAGGTCAGGACTGTGTGGTGTGAATACTATTTGTGTTGACTGACAGTTCAGTGTGAAGGGTGTAGCACAGACAGGGACAGAGGCCTGTAGTGTGTCTTGATTCTCTTCGCGGACAGAGGAATCACATAGTGGACTGTTCCTGCTCCAAGTAACATTCTCACACATAGAAAACCAGTATGTCAGGGAGAAGGCTTGAAAGTGAGTGAGAAGTGTCCGCTGAAATGTCAAAAGGCAGAAAGCCATCGCAGAGTAGGGTTTAGTGGCTTAAATAGCTCCTCGCCCCTCACTAGGCAAACCAGAATCAGTCATGTAACATAATACTCTCCCCCCAAATGCTGAATAAATTATATAAAACAGGAGGAAATTATGCCACTGCATTCAGTTTACATAATTTATTCAGGCATCTTCTCTTGGCGCAGGGTCTGGATTGCTTGGGTTGCGGAATCCGTTTTAAGCCTGAGTGCTCACGGTGCGCCTGGCGTTGTGGGGTCGGTTCTGGGACCAGGGCATCATGCCATGGTTCTGAGTCCTGGACTACCCTGCTTCACTGTCTACAGTATGCAGGACTTTTGGCAGCTTGTAGAACAATCCTCAAGGCAGAGGAAGGGGGGAGAGGAAATAACAAAGAATCCTACTCCATGGAAGCCAGTAAACACAGCTGCACTTCTGCCGTCTTGGGAGAAGCCTTCAGGGAGGGTCCTCAGCACACTGCCGTCCCCTCCTGCTTGCAGTCGTAGCCTCTAAGCTCCTCTTCCTTTTTTCCAAAGCAGTTTATAGCATCTGCTTGGCCAGATCCCAATCCTGGCTTTGCAACCACCAGCTGAGCATGCGTTTCCCTTGGCACCACAAGACGCACTCACCTCGATTGGTGGGGAAGACGTGCGATGTTGCGCTGGCAATGCTGTGGGGGGTTTCTTGGGCTGCAAAGGGCAAGAGAATGCAAAGTAAATGATCAGCAAAGAGGCTGCATTCATTACTAATCCTCATGCTAGATCCTTTGGTCGGGGCGGGGGGACTTCCCACCTCAAAAAGTAATTCTCCAGATGGAGCTCCAGCTATTGTTCCGCATCCGTGCTTTTTTCCCCTCTGTCATTTGGGCATCATGAGCCATGCCATTGTAGCTATGTTTACGGAGAAATGAGTTGCGCTGAGTTCAGTGCAACTCACTTAAACCAGGAAGTGTGCATAAGATTATAGCCTTGGCGCCCCATTATGCCTGGATTGATCGGATTACGTGTGTGTGTGATTTATAGGATAGCATTACTTGCTAAAGCAGCAGAGAAAATTCTGAAATAAGGTTGCTGAAAGACATTGCCGTTCCCTGTCCTGGAAACCCACTGATTTCATTCCTTTGGTATGTCAATTGACTCTTATGTATTGTTCTTCAAATGCTGTTCTTTTCTCTCAAGAATTTGGCAATGGCTACAGTTGAATCAAATAAATGAATTGAATTAATTGGATCATGTATTGTCAAATCCAGACACAAACTGGGCCCATTCCTGATGAAGCTACATAGTAAAATCCAGGGTGGGCTGCCTACTGAATTAGGGTGCTCAAGGACGGACGATTTCCCGGGTTCATAATCAAAAATACTCCTGGGTTCCTTGGCTGTAGCATCGACTGCCTCCCAAGTTCTCCTGCAAAGAAAAGAAAACTTGATCTCAGGAGGATCATGAGCACTTCCATTTCCTGATCTGGCGATTATCTTCCTTAAGGTTGTCAAGACAGGGTCTAAGCAACGGGGAGCTGGAATGGGATTGGAACATTTGAACTGGTTCAACAGTTTAACACTGGTTTAATAGGGAACCAGGTGCCTGGACTGCAAGCCTGCTACCAGTCTATAATCTATTTATATAACTTCAGAAATAAAACAGAAACTTTTATAACTCATAAGTTTGTGGTTCCTACCACATGGGCCTTTTTGCTCTGGTTTGGACTCCCAACTGCAGCAGCTTATTTCCAAGTTCCCATTGCTGCCCATCCTTTGTCTTTCCGTGGTTTCCCCAATGCTTTCTCAAACTATATTTGATCAAACGTTTCTTGCCAGTACACAGCTGAAGTGCGCGTGCCTTTAATGTGGAAGGTATGTGTGCTTCAAAAGGGATTCAAATGGAGTCCTTCTACCCCTCCCCCCTGAATTTACACTTGAAAGATTCATGATGGAATTCACACTGTGCCTTAACTCCTCCTCCCCGCCTTGTAATCTTCCCTTTGGGTAGGACTTCCAGTTCAGTTCCCTCATATCTGAAGAAGTGAGCTGTGACTCAGAAAGTTCATCTTGAAATAAACTTTGTCAGTTTTTAAGGTGTCACTGGACTTTTGTTTTATTTAGCTTCACCACCACTTTCCTTGCCATGCACCCCCACAGCCAGTTTCCTCCCCTCATGCCACCAGAGGGTTTTTTCCCCGATCGGCAATAGCTAGTTCACTACAGTATTGTAATGTTATAACTTTCTATTTGATCAGTTGAATTCCCAGCTTAATTTTTTTTTTTTAATCCTTTTTCCCTTTTATCCCTTCTACTCCAGAAAGGAGGCGGGTACATGAAGGACCATCTCCTTCTGTGTTTGAGCTGCCCACCAACTGGAGGCCCTGCTCTGTGTGTTCCCACTGCATGAAGGAACCAGCTGAACAAAGGAACCAGCTATTTTCTGGGCTCTGTAATGTCCCAGGCCTTCAGTGCTTAAGAATAAGCACTGCAATTAACACTATCGATCTGTTAATGCTGTTACTATGGGTAGAAGCAAGACAAACTCTGGGCAGGTGCCAAAGTAGGAATTTGGCTTTCGCCTCCGGTGATTTACACAACACAGTCCTAAGAAGAGTTACGCCACCGTATGCCCATTGACTTCAGTAGACCTAGAAGAGTGTAGCTCTGCCCAGGGTAGCACAGTTACAGACGTTGCTAAGTACAGATCTGGAAATGTCACCACAGCAGCCCCTAGGGACTGGCTGTTCAAAAACGGTGTTCCCAAGATTCCTTCAGTCTGTATGTTTTAATCCTTTGTGATGCACGGGGATTATCTGCAAAATGACCAGGAAGGGCTTCCTAAGGATAGGAACCGTGAAAGCTATTGGAATGGGATGGAGGGGGCTTTCAGCTGCAGTGCCCCTTAACATCATATTTCAGCACTGCTTAACTTTCTTAACTTTCAGCCCTCCCTACGTATTATAATGAAGTCAGCATCTCCTACAGCTCCAGAACACCAGACCTTCCCCCTTACATAATCGTTCCACATTTCTCCCTCTCCTCATTGTTTCTGCTACTACAATTCTTATTTTCCTCCTGATTATTATTTCTCAGTTACCAAAATTCACTCTCACGGTTCTTTTCTTCAAACCATTCAGAATCAGTTGGCCAGAAAGTAATTTCTCTCTCTCCTTGTGTCAATAAAGGCACTCACCCTCCCCACTTTCTGCGGCTTCCCTGCTCCCTGAGCAAAACCCCCAGAGGATATTACCTTGTCCACAGAATCCCCGGCAAGCACTGAAGAATCATGGTTAGACTAAAAGGAGACGGATGGCTGACTAGAATTGTTTGCCACTGAAGTATAAAGAATGGGAGGGGTTAAGTTCATCTGGAGAAGCTGAAAGTGAGAGGAAGATGCTGAACCCTTCCTCCCGCTGCCATTTTTTCTTAGCTGGGAGGGGGGGAACGCAACATGAAAGTTCAGCATCTCCCCCCCCCTTCTTTCTTTGCATTGAATAATCCACTCCTGTCACTTTATAGCCATTAGTCTGCATTTGGTCTGCATTTGAAAGCATGAGTCTGTTGCCATCATCTGTAGTCCTGCCCTAGATGCTAAGAAATGTGAATTTCCTTTGATAAAATCAGTGTGGAGACAGACCCACAGGGCCCCCATTATTATCCTCAGAGGCATTCCTAAGCAAAGAAAGCTTTTAGTAAACAAAACTGCACCCTCTTGCCCATCCAAAGTACATTCAGTGACTTTGAGCACACATAAAGAAGCAGAGGTGGTGGTGAAGCTCTGCTTAAAGCATTTCCCCCAGCTCTTCTCCCATAGCTGGTGTGCACTGACACGTGAAGAAAACTGAAAGCTTTGTGTGGATCAGGTTCCCAAATCAACAGATGGCCATCCAGGAATAGGTTTGCCAACCTCCAGGTGGGGCCTGGAGTTCTCCCAGAAAATGACACCTGACCCCCTAGACTGGAGAAAATGGCAGGTTCAGAGGGCACTCTCTATGGTAAACCATAGATTCTAGGTGAAATCCCTCCCCAAATTCCCTTCTCTATAGGCACCACCCCCAAATCTCCAGGGATTTCCCAGACTAGAGTTGGCAACCCTTGCAGGAAGGTTGATTTGAACCGAACTTCAACCTTCCCATATTTTAAAATGCATGTATCATCTGGGTGGGGTTGCCATCTCCGGGTTGGAAAATACCAGGAGATTTTGGGAGTGTAGCCTGAGGAGGGCGGGGTTTGGGGCATAATGCCACAGAGTCCAACTTCCAAATAAGCCATTTTCTTCAGGTGAACTGATCCCTGTCACCTGGAGATCAATACTAATAGCAGGTATCCAGCCACCACCTGGAGGTTGGCAACCCTATATCTAGGCCTTTATGAGAAGACTGCCAGTAGAAGTCTGTTTATATCAATTCGATTGTCATGGCTTTCCCGAAAGCATACTGGGAATTGTAGTTTAGAGAGGGTACTGAGAAAGGACTACTTAACTTTCCTTACAGAACTACAGTTTCCCAGGAGAGAGGAAATGAATATTAAGCAAGGCTAGGGTAAAGTCCTATCAGGATGTGCCTTCTCTTCTCCCCTCTAAATACCCTGTATCTCCCTTGATAGTACATGCCTTTCTGACTTCTTCCTGTAGCTTAAATCGCTGTAGCAGCTCTCGGCCACAGAACAGAATCATGTGACTGTACTCACCAGTCCAAACCATTCTGAAGGCAGGAGGAGCTGCTTGATGCCAAGACCACTGGTTGGCTTTTCTGCATGGACCTTGGAGGCCTGGCATCTGGAGGAAACAAAACTGTCACTATCCAAGGCGGACTTCAAAGACCCTATCAGAGAACAGCAGTATCTTATGTTCTGTGACATTCGCCTGGGAAAGTGCATTAATAGCTCTATTCTTATACCAAAGATGAATGGATAGCATATACCCCTCCCAAATCTACCTTATGGAAGTGCCTCGCCATCTATGGGCATCATCCCCAGATGTACCCACTTTTGTTTTTGTTTGATATTATTTATGAACATCTTAGTTTTGGCACCTGACTCATGTTGGAAACTTCCTTAGTGCCTTGGTCATATTTTCTCATCACCCATCCATGAGGTTCTACATCCCACTGGTCGTTCCTTAGCCATTAGATGAGAATCTCATTTGCCTACCCTAAATGACTATGCCTTTCCCAGTTTTGCACCACCCACCCCTGGTGTTTATTCGCAAGCAGAAACCATTTCCTACCTCTGGAGTTGTAGCAGATGTCCCAGTCCTGTCCTAGTTGTGAAAGAGAAGAGAGAAAAACTTGCTTGAGTAGAGACTGGTGGAAACAGAGAGCCAATGCCTACTTGCACAGGGAGACAGTAGGTGATGCTCCATGAAGCTCTAATTTCTGCTGCAAATGCAGAGGCACTTGTAGAGCCAGTGGAGCAGTCACACAGACATTTTCCTGGCATTTTCCTTGCCTGATCCCTCTGTGGCTGCCATTCCACTCTCCTGCCACCAGGGGGCCTTTTGCTGTCAAGTCCCAGCCAATTTATGGTGACTTTGGTAGGGTTTTCAAGGCAAGAGACTAACAGAATCGTTTTGCCATTGCCTGCCCCTGCATAGTGACCTTGTTGGTCTCCTGTTCAAATACTAACCGGGGTAGGATTGTCATGGTCCTTTCACCTGACGGTAGGGGGATGAGGGGGACATTCCAGAAGTGACGTCGCCCCCCCCAACAGTGACGTTGCACACAATGTGCCTGCGTTGCCTGGAAGTGACGGCGGCATGTCAGTGGTGTGTGTGTGACACTCTGGATGTTAGGCAAAACTCTATGGTAAAATCAGCATCAAACCATAGAGTTTTGCCCAAAATCCAGAGTGTCACCACCACCACCACCCCGATGTTGCTGACGTGCCGATGTCACTTCCGGGTGATGCAGGCACCTCACGTGCAATGTTGCTGTTGTGGGGGGGGGGGAGGCCGGCGGGCAAGTGACAACCCTAAACCAGGGCCTAGTCCACTTAGCTTCTGAGATCTGGCAAGATCAGGCTAGCAGGGGTTATCCAGGTGAGGGCAGTAGGGGGCTATTTGTTTTTAATTGTTAAGACTTGTTAGCAGTTAGAGAGCTCTGGTGTTCTCACAGCATAAGGCTCCATTGCAACAACACAATCCCAGCTTTCATTTTTAGAAAAGCAAGTATCTAGCCAAGGGGTCCCCAACCTGGTACCTGTGGTTGCCGTGGCGCCCGCCAACACCTTTCCTGGGATCCACCAAATGTTTTTAGAAAGTGGGTGGGGCCAGGTGGGGCTTTTGCCCAGTAAGGCTTTCGATTGGCCACGGGAGATTCGATTTTTAGAAAACATTGCTTCGGCAGCAGCTGTCAGTCACCACAGCACAAGGACCTTCGCTGTGTGAAAGAAGGTAAGCTTTGGCAGCCATTCTATGGCTGGCTCTGCCTCCTGCAGCAACTATTTTGTGGCAGCCATTTTGTGGCTGCACCCACCACAGGGTGTCAGAATTCCGAAAGCGCCCACAGGCTCAAGAAGGGCAAGGACCCCTGATCTAGCCCCTTCTGGTGCAGAATTATAAGGAGGCCTGTTCAGCCAGTATGCTCCAGCTTACAATGCTGCAACGAAAGGGTCTAGACACATCCTGTTTCCAACCCTCCCCCCAACCCTGGAAACAATAATACCGTTGCAATAGATTATATAATGCTATTGCGCTGTAACAATTACTGATTTGTTTTGCTTTGAGCCTGAAAAAGCCTTCCAGTGGGTGGGGTGGGGTGGGGGGAGAAAGGGCAGCAGTGGGGACTGAGGTAATGAAAATGGCGCCAATGTGGGCAAGATCTCCAAAAACACACATTTCCCCATCCACATGGTGTTCAGAGGGACTTTGACTGCCGTATGTCCCAAAAGGTCATACCAAACCAGTTTTGGGGAAGACTGCAGCAAACTGGGAGAAAAAGACAGAAGTAGGACAAGAGGAGGACGGTATCATACAGGGGTTCCTGAAAACAACCGTTCTGTATGGAAGCCAAGGCAGAGCAAATGGTCCCTATGGAAACAATCTCTTCTTAGAACACATGTTGACCACAGAAAATGACGGATGGTAGTACAGCCTTCCCTGAACATGTGGCAGAGGCATTTGGAAGCCCTAGAGCTGTGTTCTATACCAGAGATTTGACAGGAAATGAGGGTGGTTAAGGTTTACATTTACTTGGCCCCCTTTGGCAAACAACACTGCTATGGATCACAACTGGAGAAACCATTAAAAAGGGTATGTCCCCAAATGGTGAATGGCGTCAGTATCACAGGGGTGGTGGGGAACTTGTCACAATGAGGTAATCGCATGACTGTTAGAACAGCTGTGTTGAACAAGCCAGTATTACTATCCACCCCCATATTGCTATTTGGGATTTTTGACTTCCTCAGGACCATCCAATGAGTTAATGGCCGAGCCTTTAAGTGACTAAAGCGTGGCTTGCTCTCCCACCCATGCATATTCCAGTTTATGTTTCTTTCTGTTATGAAAGCTGGGGGCTAAGAGACTAATCTGTGGTCCAGGAAGATGCTGGTTCAAATCTCATGTCGGCCACAAATTCACGAGGTGGCCTTATGCAAACCGTTCTCTTTCAGCCTCAGTTCCCTCACCACCACCAGCATCTACAATGTGGAGATAATACTACTGCCCTGTCTTACACAGCTGGTATAGAGCTTACAGCAAGCTAACATATGTATAATAGTATAAACACTATTGTTGAGTTATCTGATGGTGGTGCAAAAGTGTTATCAAGTCACAGCCAATTTACAGCAACCCCACAGGGTTTTCAAGGCAAGAGACATTCAGAGGTGGTTTACCATTGCCCGCCTGTGCATAGAGACCCTGGACTTCCTGGGTGGTCTCCCATCCCAATACTAACCAGGGCTGTCCCTACTTAGCTTCCAAGATCTGACAAGATCAGTCTAGCCTGGGCCATCCAGGTCAGGGCAAGGCATTGTGTAGATGCCAACAAAGCAACAGCCTGGGAAATATTGCAATGAAATATTTACCACTAGAGGGTGCTCAATAATCACGTGGAATAGAGCATATGTGTTACTGGGGCAGATACTGCCAACATCTTCCAGGTTTACTGATTTATCCTCACAGTGATGAGAGTAATTTGCCACTTGAACTGTGCCTTACCAGGGAGTTTGCTATGGATCTGCTGGAACATGCTGCGGTACCAGTCTCGGGGGCTGTCCACACTCTGTAACAGAAACCAAACATACAAAATCACGAGCCGAGAAAAAGCTAAAGGAAGAAGTCTATTAGGCCGGGACAACAGTGACTGGCTGGACAGTTTGCATCATCCCTACAGAATTCTGCAGTCTCTGGCACTTCAATGCTAAGTGGAAAGCATGACTGTTACTCGAAGAAACACGGACTTCTTCTAGCAGAAGAAGATTGTGGATTCGATTGTATATCTACAACCTACAGCAGTTCTGCTTTTTATGCACTTGCTTTGTATATAGTCTGCCTTTCTTATCAAGATTCAGGGTGGATTACAGAATTAGAAAACAGTGCAATAAAAGTGGATTACAAATTAGAGAACAATTCAATAAACACAGTACAATAATCCCAAAAATTCCAACAACACAATATTACGTAATCTCCACAGACACTAAAATTACAGCCCTTTCCGTTTATAAAATCACCCTCCTGAATAATCCTGTTTTACGCATTCCGCAGAATTACAAATGTGTGGGGCTCTTCCTGGAGTCATCAGGCAGGGCATTCTACCAGGTGGGAGCCACAACAGGCAGTGCTAGAGAGTACAGGTAGTTGTTGCTCTTACCCCTTTTCAGAGTGGCCCTTTCAGAAGGCTTTGCTCAGACAAGTGAAGCTATCTCAGCTCAGCATACTGAGGGAGGCAGTCCTGCAGATATGAGGGTCCTAGCCCATGAAGGACTTTGAAGGTAACAACAACCACCTTGAACTGAATCCGGAAACTAATTGGTAACTGATTGAATGGCTGCAGAATAGGTATTATGTGCATACTCCACCTAGTAAATGAGCTGCTGCAGTGTTCTGCATCCACTGGAGTTTCCAAGTCATCTTCAAGGGCAAAACCATTTAGACAGCATTCCAATACTTAACCATCCAGCATGAACCCACATGGCCAGGTCAGTCCTGCCAAAGCTACTAGGCCCTGCACCCTCATTGCAAGTAGCCCTCCAAGGCAGTAGCCCATCAGGAATTTCTCAGTACATTAAATATCCAGCCTGCCCCTGATTGGAAGCCAACCCTTCAGAAGGCATGCCCCTTCCCACTCACTGCCTCCTCCCCATCTCTGGGGCAAATTCTCTCCCTCCCCCACTTCCCCATCTTACATCTGTATGAGTGTTCAAATCCTGCTTCAGATGGGAATCCTTGTTCAGTAAGGCTGACGATGAAAGGGAGGTGGTATTTGTATTGAGGAGGAGACGAAGGAGGGCAAGGGAACGTGCAGTCTCACTGCTGGCCTCCCATGAGCAAAGTACTATTTGTAGTGAGCCAGCATTACATCTGCTCTGGATCAGTGTATTTTCTTATTTGTGGGACTGCTTTCATACTCTCAGTTTAGCAGGAAAAAATACCAAAATGTGTGTGGCATGTGATTTTGTATAGATGATGCTTGTGTAGGCCACTGGGCACATTGTCCATTTCAGGTCATGCAACCACCGCATTCCCTATCAATACAGCTTTTGGATAAACTTAAGAGGTTTGCCTCCAACTGCAGACCTGATCCAGCTTTGCATAGTTGGAGAGAAAAACAACTCCCAGCCCATCACTCTGGCTACAGACACAGGATTGAGGCAAGAGGCCAAAAGCTGAGATTCTCGTATGCTGTTTACAGCTGTTCCATCTGTGGACTCACCGATCGTGAGGCAATGGGCATCCCGGACTCATCCACTGGTCCAATCCCATCATACTTCACCCAGCGTTTTTCCTTTCTCCTGCCATCTTTTGTCCAGGTGGCTGACCAACTGGGTTGTGCGGCACCATTGACAACTGGCCTTGTGGCTGAATCTGCTGGGCAAGGAACGGGTGCTGCTGCTGCTGCTGCTGCTGCTGCTGCTCGAGATTTCAGTGGTCTAATTTCTTTAGCAGGCCAGGTTGGGTACCAGTTGCTTGCTGCAAAGAGATAGGAACAGTTTGCAGCAAGGACTAGACAAAAGAAGCCAGCTGTGCTGGGGGTAAGGAACATAAGAACATAAGAGACGCCAATGTTGGATCAGGCCAAAGGCCCATCCAGTCCAACACTCTGTGTCACACAGTGGCCAGAAATACCAGTGCCATCAGGAGGTCCAGCAGTGGGGCCAGGACATTAGAAGCCCTCCCACTGTTGACCCCCCCCCCCAAGCACCAAGAAGACAGAGCATCACTTGCCCCAGAGCCCCTAGCTATACCTTGTGGCTAATAGCCACTGATGGACCTCTGCTCCATAATAAGAACATAAGGAAACCCTTTCCTTTCCTAGACCAGCAGCAGGCCATGCTTGTGAATTTCCCAGAGACATCTGGTAGGTTGTTTCTTGAAAGGAATACTGAGTTAGTTCAGAATTGCTTGGCCTGATTCAACAACATAATTTTTATGTTCTTACAAGTCCTTAGGAAAGACAAAATAGCAGGATATTCTATGTATATAGGGAATGGATTCTGGACAGAACAAAAGCTACAGATAATCCCTCTGAATTCTTCTAGGCATACTTAACATCTCAGTAAGGCCAGACATTTGCTCCAGTTCTCTTTGCACCCCTCATCTGTACTTGGTAACCAGTAATTCTGTCCCACCTGAACTCTGAAAGGGGTCATAGGGGTGGTAGAGGCAAACAGAAGTCTGCAGAGAAATGATAAGGGTGTGGGGTTTGTACAGTCTGCTGAAGAAACTGGCCTTGACTCCCCACCCCCAGTAGACCAAACTCTCTTCTTACCTTTTCTATAAGAGCAAACCTGTTACCTTTTCTATAAGAGAACAGAGGCAGCTAAGGTTGGGGATTCTGAAACTGCTTTCTATCAAACTCAGAAACTTCAGCAAAAGGACAACAGGATGATAAACAGGCAAAAGGCCACCATGTGTTCGATCTCTTTGCCAAAAAAGAATCTTTTATTCCCCCCCCCCCAAAAAAAACCCCAGTTTGGCTTGAGTTACCAGACTTCCATTGGGCTGTTTTCCATTGCTGTGACATCCCATTGTTCACAGTGCGAGGGCTTGTGTCATGGAACTCAAAATTCAGGGTGTTAGAGCCACAGTTACGAATCACAGGAACCTTCAGGGAATGGATACAACACAGCCCATTACCATTGTGCTGCTGCTGTCTTCTTTCCAGTATATAACAGTTTAAGAACTAAAGTGTATTTGGATTAACTCTGTACCTTCAGAACAACTGGGTCCCTAGATTCAATTTAAACATCATCCTTGGAAATGGCACATACAGGGATAAGATGAATTTGTCCTTCTCATCTTGGGGCAACAGACAATTTCCCCCACTATTTTTGTCTATTACATTACTAAGCAATAAAATTTTGGTTAACACTCTGCTTTCTCTTGATGATTTTTATCTGACCAGCTAAAGTGAAATAAATGTGTGGAAATAATTCATGATTTACTCAGCTGCAGTCAAAATACCAAAATATTTATGATTTGGCTTACACATTCTTACATTTTCTAAATTATGGTTGTGATAAGCTTGTCAACAAGTAATAAACTGTTTTTACCTGGTCACAATTTTAGAGAAAAACAGCCGACCTAATACAGTATTCTGAATTGGAGCCAGGTGAATTCTGTTTTTATTGTATTAAAATACTATGTGAGCTAAGTTAAAGGCAGAAAAATGGCTCAGAACTTCCTTGGAAGTGATATTATCCAAATGGCCATAAATCTATGCAGAAGGTACCATAAAATCCGATGGTCAAAGGAAGCGAAAGCAGCATGGAGTGTAGAGGCTACCATAAAATCTCACGATCAAAGGAAGTGAAAGCGGCATGCAATGCAGAGGGGAATTTCTGTTCCAACGTGGGTTTGCTAAAGCAGAAGGAAAAGCCAATGCAGAATCAGCCAGTGAGAAACAAGAACCTAGGGTGGGGAATGCACCATACCTCCATGGTTCAAGGCCAGGTTCAGAATTAGATAGACAGTAAAATATATATATATGATAGAACACAGATTATGGACAACCATCATCTCTAAAATGCTATTTTTATATTGCATATTTTAAAAAAATTCTTAGAGAGAAAATCAACCTGAACTAGTTTTTTCAGCAGAACTGCTTAAACAGCCTTATGTGTTAGAACAAATTTAGAGTCCAGTGGCACCTTTAAGACCAACAAAGGTTTATTTAAGATATGAGCTTTCGTGTGCAAGGCACTCTTTTTCATATACATTGCAATGGTAGGTAAGGTTCAAACTTATAGACAGGGACTCCTCACATATGTATTCTCAACAAGAAGGACTATAATTCCTCTGTATTTTAGTGTATTTCTTTTTCAGAATAGTATGTTAGAATAGTGAATGTAATGCAAGGAAAAGTGGGATGTTTTGCTGATATGACACTGCATCCACCTCACAGAGTGCTGTTAAGTGATCTCCATGCCTGGAACGTTCTGGTTTGCTTCCCACAATTAGAAAAGGACACCTTTAGACATTTATCTGCTATTTTGACATATTTATTGCTTTACAACTGTTGACCTTATAACCTTAGCTTGTTATTTAGTTCTGACTTTGCATATCTCAAACATCATCATGTTACATGTTAATTTGCTGTTAATTCCCTGTCTATAAGTTTGAACCTTACCTACCAGTCCAATGTATTTGAAAAAGTGTGCCTTGCACACAAAAGCTCATACCTTAAATAAACCTCTGTTGGTCTTAAAGGTGCCCCACTGGACTCTGAATTTGTTCTGCTGCTTCAGACCAACATGGCTGACCACCTGGATCAGCCTTATGTGTTGTTTGATAAAGTAACCTGAGAGCTGTTTCAGAAGAAACCCATATAACCTGGGTAGCAAGGTCAAAAGTCATGTTTTCCTGTAAGTTATCAGATAAAGAAAAACACAGGTGTTGCTGCTCGAATAAGAAGGAAAGGGGGGGGGGAATCTTGGGAAAACATAGAGTATCCTATAATTACGGTCTAGTATGCAAGACCGTTTAAGTAATACCTCCAAAGAAGGTGATTCAGATGACATACAAATTTTAGGGAGGATGGGGTGGAGGATTTAACCTACTATTCTTTGAGATTATGTATTTTTAAAGAAAAAAGACTCAGATACATCAAACAATTCTTTGTTTGCAGGATCTTCTTCTAGTCAAGCCGACAACAAATTTCAGAGGGTTACCCATATCAGTCTCTTGCAGTCAAAACAATGAACAGACCGGAGGCATGTTAAAGGATAACAAATTAACTGTGGTAGAAGCTTCCAAGCACTCCAGCCTCGACTACTTTTTCAGACGTGTGAACATGTACGGCCTGAATCATGTTTATTACACGTTTTCTCCAAACAGCACAGATGTTTCCCCTCATTTTGACCACATAGCCCTTCCTTCTACGATGTGCAAGTGTGTATGAGCAACAGTTCTTACAGAGAAGTAAGAGAAATATGCATCTTAAACTGGTATTACTAATCTCACAAGCTTTAATATGTTTGAATGAGTCATAAACAATATGTTGATTTTTATATGGGTTATTTTACTGTTTGAAAGATACTACTACCTTTCAGTTTGTTTTCATACTGTATGGTAAGCAGATCACATAATTGTTTTCTGATTACCTCTGCAGTCTCTTCATTGAATGACTTTGGTCTTTGGTTGTCTCATTGCTTTGCCGCTTGAGATTTCATGGGTTTTTTTGTTAAGAAAATAGAGTAGTACCTTTAAAGCTAAATAATGTTTCACTTAAAGAGCATGAGTTTTGTAGGGTATTATGAACTCTCCCTAGAAGCTAAAATGACTAAACTGATGCTATCATACTTTGGTCACATTATGAGAAGAAAAGAGTCACTGGAAAAGACAAGAATGCTAGGAAAAGTTGGAAGGCAACAGGACAAGAGGAGACCCAACATGAGATGGATTGACTCAGTCAAGGAAGCCACAAGGGCCCTCAGTTTGCAAGACCCGAGCATGGCTGTTAACAACAGGACATTTGGGAAATCATTCATTCATAGGATCACCAGAAGTTGGAAGCGACTTGACAACACTTAACACACACATCTACTTCAGGGATCCTCAGTTTTGTTGAGCCAGTGGGCACTTCTGGAATTTTGAGAATGGGGAGTAGGTTACATCAGGGTGCTGGTGCCAGTGACAAAATATTGGAAGGTTGAAAGCCAAGTATTCTGCTACAATGGAGGCAACTGTTTTTGAATGGGTGCTTCATATGGGCACAAAGGTGATACCTCCTGGTTTCTTTTGAAGCATTTCTAGGGGTAGGCATGAAGCAGGAAAATGTGGTCCGGTTTGTGGCATACCCAGTTCACAAACCACAAACCGTCACAAACGTTTAGCCATCAAGCAAACAATTTCAATTCCTGATGTTTGTGATGTGGCAGAATGGCTCCCCAGCATGCTAGAGACAGAAAACTCACAGAAGATCTCTGGCTGACTCTCCTCTATGCACCCTCCAAGTTTGGCGAGGATTGGATTTATGGGGTCCGAATTGTGGCCCCCAAAAGAAGGTGCCCCCAGAGAAGTGCTTGCTGGGAAGATGAAAGGAGCAGGTGCAGGAGGTTCAGGAGTGTATAGAATGGTACCTGTGCAAGCTAGAGACATCAAACTCATAGGGGACCTCCCCCTGATGCTCCTCTACATGCCCTCCAAGTTATGTGCAGTTTGAACCTAGGGGGTCCAAGTTATGACCTCCCCAAAGAAGATGCCCCCAGGAAAGTGCTTTTGGGGAAATATCAGGCAAATGCACAGGGAACCTACTGGTGTTTCCAATGCTGAAGAATTCTGGCCCCCTCCCATTGCTTTGAAGTTGCTTTGTTGCTTTGAAGTTTGGTAAACCTTTTGTTTGAGCAGAGACAGTCTGTCTAGAAATGTGTCCGTTCATGAGCTGCCACAAACCGCCATGAACTTGAAAGTTAGTGGAAATTTTGTGCCAGTTGACCTGCCACAAACTTCAGTTCGCAAACCACAAACTGGCCGAAATTCATCATGACCTTTGTGAGCCAGTTCGTGAGCCAGTTCGTGAGCCAGTTCGTGAGCCAGTTCATGCCCATCGTGTCCATCATACCCTAAGCACTTCCTGCTCTTTAGCTTGGGGAAGAGATGCTTTGTCAAATAAACAAATGGACACCAGGAAGCTCACCAGTGGGCACAATGGGATGAACAGATACTACACAGGGGATCACTGATCTACCTCAACAAATGCTATTGTGAGCCATTAGAAAAAGAAGAGGACAAAGTGCCCAGTTTGGGAACTGGGTCTCCCACAGTGCAAGTCAGCTAGGGCCAGACTAATAGATGTGCTGAGTTTGCCCCTATTCATACAGAAGGTGGAGAGAGGTTGTTTTTAAATGGAAAGGAATCCAGAATAGCAAAATTCTCTCCCTTATTTTTGTTGCTCTCCATTATTTGAATAACTTTTCTTCCAAAGCCTAATCACTTCCAGTATGGGAGCTGGGCTGGAAGAAAAAAGAGAAAGTTTGCCATCTATTATCCAATACATGCCCCGTTCCATACAAAAATTAGACTGCTGCATAGCTGTTTATTTTATAGGTGCACAGGACAGACTCATGAATAAACAAACATGGCTGCCCCCTGCCTAGGGTTGCCAACTCTGGGCTGGGAAATTCCTGGAGATTTGGGAAGGGGAGGGACCTCAATGGGGTATAATGCCATAGACTCCACCCTCCAAAGCAGCCATTCCCTCCAGAAGAACTAATGTTTGTAAGCCTGGAGAGCAGTTGTGATTCTGTGAGATCTCCAGGACCTTCCTGGAGGTTGACAACCTTACTCCTGCCATCTTATTTTTAGTTGTCAGTCAGTCACTCTCTCTCTCTCTCTCTCTCTCTCTCTCTCTCTCTTTTTCTCTCTCTCTCTCGCGCACACACACACACACACACACAATTTCTGAGCATGCTAAAGTCTGTGGGGCCCACTCACTCTGCGACGTGAGGGAGCCCGCACAGTCTGCGGAGTAGATGTCGCTCTAGGGGATGCTGGGCTCATGCTGTTGTTAGCAGACGGCCTTTTTTGGAGGTGTGAAGGGATAAAGTCATCCAGGCTGAGGTCCAGAGCTGCCCCAGTTTCCCCAGCTCTGGAGCGAGGGGACAGGGAGGTGGGACTAGGCCGTCCTTCTTGGGAAGGAGAGGAATGGTTGCCATTGACACGAAGACTCTGTTCTGCATAGAATGTACCCTGGAGAAGAAAGGAAAAGAGAGGGAGGTCAGACATCTGAAAAGAGAAAGTATTTAGACATTTTTTATCCAGGACTGGTACTTACAAACCTAGTGGCACTGCCAAGCCCAAGTTACAGTTTGTTCCCAATAGGACCCTTTTGAAAGCCATTACACATTTTGACAACGGGAGCCAAAGTAAATTTCTTTCCAACTTTCTCAAAAAAATTCCTTTGCAAATTTTCACGCAGAATATTTTCCAGCGACCCTTGAATATTTACGGAAACTAATAACATTTGTAGTTGACAGATGATGATATCTGATTTTAACCACGGCTATCCAACAGTTGATATTTGATAGTGGAAATCTAATGGAGTTTGGCAGTTCTTGACAACTGGCATGCGGAGTGATGAATTCGTATTTGATAGTAAACTTGCAATGGTATTTAGGGTTAGACACAGAGGTCATTTCGGGGGGGAACGCGGGGGATCGCAGTTCCCCCGGGTGAGGTACGGGGGGGCGGGGCACATGACGAAGCCCCGCCCCCTGCTTCCGGCCGCCCCGCTTCCAGCCCTCATTCAGCCAGGAGGAGGCAGGAGAAGAGGCAGGGGAAGTTGCTTCCTCCCTGCCTCTTCCCACC